TGTCCTTTTGTTTTGTGGACTTTCGGTTCTCAATTTTTCCTTGCCGGCTGCAAGCGGTTTTTGTTCTCATTACCTGGGTTTTTGTCGCCAGCGATTTCTGTTTATACTTGTTGATCTCTCACTGTTCTTTAAATAATTTCCTATCGCTATTTATCTGAGTCTGGTTTTTGCGATCCACTTACTCTTGTAATGTTTGTTTATTTTATGAAGATTTCCTGTAGTAGATCAAAAACATGATGTCAAAGAAAAACAGCACAATGTCTTCAAATCATTTTCCAAATAAAAATCTGAAAAATGTGTTTTTAGCCTGACGCCTTTTACAGAACTACCCTTTGCTTATGGTCCAACGTGAGTGCATGTAAAATACGTGTGTGTGTGTGTGTGTGTGTGTGTGTGTGTGTGTGTGTGTGTGTGTGTGTGTGTGTGTGTGTGTATACACACACAAGTTTTGGTATTTCACTGTCTCCTCACTCTCAGGGACTTCATCAGTGTATCTGGCTCTTGGGGGGGGGGAAAAAAAATTGGTGTCTTCCAAGTCCTCTCACTCTCACAACACTCAATTTGCTTCTTTTCTCCTCTCTTAAAGCTATCATCTTACTATGTCTCAATGTCACCTTTTTTCTTAATCTTTATGATTCAGATATCGGACATAATGTCCCTTTTAGTTTTCAATTTTAACTGTGGACAATGAGCAATGGAAAGGAAAACATTTCAGCAACCCAAAAGAGAACATGCCCTAGCAGCATATTGTGCACAGTTGTGGTAATTGTGCGTCGATTAGTTTGGGTAGAGAACCGTCTCTTGGTGCACTTTGTATTGGTGCTATTTTATTTACATTTTTGAATGATGAATTGAACGGTACTCTGTGAGATGTTCAAAGTTTCAAAAAAATATATATATTCTACTTTAAAGTTCTCTACAACTTAATCGTAAAACGTGTCAGGTGTGTCTTTGGCTTCATGGTGCTGTTTGTTCATGCTCTCAAGCAATCCTAATGGCTGTATACAATCGGGATGAGGTGACACACAGGGGCAGTCTATTTACCTATTAGATGACTTTTAAAGGCAGTTGCATGCACTGGATTTACAGTGATCCCTTGCTATTTTGCGTTTCACTTATCCCGGCCTCGGAGCATCATGTTTTTTTTTCCCCCAATGTACTGTATTCAGAAAAAAATGTTGAATGACTCAGAGTTTTTTTACATGGCTGTACACTTGATTGGTTCCCATGATGCACAGCCATGTTGATTGGCTGTGCATCTTTGCAGCCCCGCCCAGCAACCTCCCTTGTGTGTGTGGCTGGGGGGAGGGGTGCATGACAGAGTGAGAGAGAGAGAGAGAGAGAGAGAGGGAGGGGGGGGGGGGGAATGGGCTTGTCTGAAAAAAAGAGCAGTTCTCTCTTGCCTTCTTAATTGTCTAATCATAAACATATCGGCTGCACGCAACAGGATACTTGGCCAGCAGCTCGCTAGAGGCTAATGGAGGCTATGCTGTCAGAGCAGCATAAAGGCAATGCTGATGAATGTGAATGACTGTATAAGGTTTTATAATTAAAGATTTAAGTAAATATGTGTACTGCTATGCTCTTTGTCTCAAATATGAAAAGTATAAATACTGTTTACATATTTTAAACGTGCTGGTACCCACAAACCCTTACACAAAAATTCCTAAGGGTGGGGGGGCAAACCCTTCTTTGTGGATTTTCGTCTTTCGTGGGGGGTTCTGGTCCCCATTAACCGCAATAAGTGAATGATCACTGTATTAACGATTTAATGATGCTGTAGTGGTTTATCAGTCTGGAAGGGTTCATGTACCATTGTAGAGACAGATAACTATTCACACATATTCACCATGTACCATGACTGATTAGTGACCAGTCCAGGGTGTCACCTGCTTTTTGCCCTATATCAGATGGCCCAGTCTTCAACTCCTCGCTACCAAAAGTGAGGCACTGAGGTACAAAGAACTCCATAGTCATGACAAAATTAGGTCGTTTTTATTTCAGAAAAAAATTCTGTCAATAGACTTGAGCATTTACAAGAGTTGACATGACAAGTGAACACAATCAACAAGCAGTCAAGAGCATTAGAATCAATGATACAATATTATGCCATCATAATGTAAAGGGGAACCGTATAACACACAAACAAACTGCATATGAAATAGAAACTGAAAAGAAAAAAGAATATTAAACTCACTAAAAGATAAATGGTTTTGCTCATGTCTTAAAGTCTATCTGTGCCGCGTAGAGGTGGAAAAATTCTTATAGGTGGTGCTTTGAGATATGACCTTCAATTATTTCCTGACCGCCCTCATAACGAAAATGCTCATACATCTAAAATCATATTCCCCTTTGAAAATAATTAATCTGATCCAACTCTTCCCCACAAAATAGGAATTTTTCATGCGCCTTTTCATGAGAAAAATAGCACTCACAGGGGCGTGCAGAGGGCAGGACTAACGGGGCTGCTGCCCCCCGCCACTGCTCCACACCCCTTACCCAGTTTGACATAAATGTTTTGGTGCACGTATGTTGCAATCATTAATACATTAATACATTAATATGCGTGTTAAAGGGAGTTGAAGGGACATCCTTCTGGGATAGAATACAAACAAAGCGCTTTACAAAAAATTTAACATAAAATAACAAAATAATATAACACAAAACAACATAAAACATGGACAGTCATGCAATCTTAGTCACTTTTCCTGCATACGCTTTGTTGTTTGAAGCAGTTCTAGATGAAAGAGAAGAGAATCAAAGTGACCTTTCATCAGTGGATTAGAGACGTCATGCTCAAAATGTGCACACATCTGCTACAAGCTAAGTTTGAAAGTAAACAAGTAGTTGCAGCGTCCATTGATGAAAAAAAGAGTTCTCCTGTGCCATGTAAGTCTGTTTCACTTCCAAGCGGCTACTCTCAATTCCAAATACGCATCCACGCGAAATAACAACAAACATCATGTGACAAAATAAAAGACAAAAGCGAAGCTCTTGAAGGGCACTTGCCGACTGCTGCCTACTAGGGCGCCATCTTGGGAGAAAAAAAAAAAGAAAGAAGGGACATGCACTTCATGAATCTAGAGATGGGGGGGGGCAAACTTTTACGCTCGGGGGCCACATTGATTTCTAAAAGTATTAACATACTTTTTTTTTAATGAGAACAGTGAAACAACTATGGTATATATGTCCTGTATGAACGTCCAAGTATGTTAACAACAAACATGGGTGAGAACACAAGCAACAAAGTGCAACAATATATTGCCCAAAAACTGATTATAACACAAAAACTGCAGCATACAGTACATAAAAAAAAAAAAACAAACTAAAAAATATGCAAAATATGCAAAATATGACAAAGTTAGGACTACAAAATGCGACGATTAAGAGACCTGGTGGCTTTTCTTTCCACTTACTCACTGTCTCTAACTTTACCTCCCCTAGATCACCACACATGACAGCATTGCTCAGCTGATGTCGAACAACGAACTTTTGAAGTAGTATATAGTAGCATAGTTAGTGCTATTGAACTCGCCTCCTCTCTTACTAGCGGTCCAGTTTGCGGAAAGTTTTTAACACGATAACAGTCAAACCATTTAGGGAAATGTTCATTTACCCGACTGTCCGTCGAGCCGCAAGCAATTCGCTCCGAGCATGGAATCGGGCTGAACAAGAAACGCTTCCTTATTTTTCAAAGTCGCATAGATTTGAGTCTTTCCGACTCCAAGCATTTTCTGAATGTTTTGCACTTTGTCACCCGCTTCGTTTAATCAGATACATATCACTTTCGCTTCCACGGTCATAAATGTTCCTCTTCATTTGGATGCCATGATGTACACAACCTAAATGAAAATGAATGAAATTACAAACTTTCGCAATTCCAGTAAAACTCACTGCAATCAAGAGTCACTTGCTTGTCGCCGTTTTGGATCCAATGATAGAAAATAGCGGCGCGGACACACTTATTCCGTCGTATCGAGCGGGAGTTGCTTGAGTTGGCGCTACTGCGGGCTTCCATTTGGCTTCCGGAACTTCCGTTGTTATGAATCAATTGTTAATGTAATATCGTAGTAGAAAATTTAATGCACGTTTTTTTTTTTTTTTTTTTTTTTTTAATGGGTTCGGGAATTTCCGTTTGACAGAGGTCCGCAGGTGGTAGATAAGGTTTCTCCCTCTATCTCTTTCCCTCTCTCTTTGTTTCCCCCTGTGCTCTGCAACTTCAAGTAACCGCGCCACCTGGCGTTGAAAGGCCTGTCATTACAAGTCCAAATGAAATCAACGGAATTATTCACATCGAACCTGAATTGTGTACCAACCTTCGGCGGGCCGGATTGAAAAGACCAACGGGCCGGATCTGTCCCGCAGACTGCAGTTTTCCCACCTCTGATCTAGAGAGTACCCCCGCATTCGATGCCTGCTGTAAAAGCTCACTTTGTCTACCTGGGAAAAGGATATTAAAGTGAGCAAGAATAATAAATGGTTACACGTGTCCACTGCTAATATTGGTTGAATAAAAATCTGTTTGTTAAAAAATTAATCTACTGTGCTTCGCACACCTCTCAGCACTCTATAATACAGTATTATACTTAATAAAAACATACAGTCATGACAAACGGATACAGTGTACTGAAGGTTCAGCTCCTCCATCGCTTTCTCATTACAGCTGTGATATTAGTCGTTCTTTGTGGAGGATAAAAACTATATGCATGTAAGTCTTGTCAGCAGGGCTGTGGTCAAGTCCACCTTTATCGAGATATCAGATAGACAGCAAAAACAATTACCGGGTACCCTTTTTTGATGCCACTGCAAGTGTCGAACAAAGTTCGACGTGGTGTCGTGGGTGTCCCAAATTGTCATCTTACAGAATCTGCAGGTTGCTTCATGTTTCTTTCTTGATTTATTTATTGAGGACGTTGTTGCTATCACCAGTTCTCGATACTTGGTAAAACCAGATTTTATAAACCCGTTGATGACTGGAAGAAAAAGACTGCATGCTTTGGCATTTGCGATCAGAGTAACCAATCAAATGTCTATTTTGATCATCTGAAATGTTTTATTTCAAGTTTCTTTTGAAAGAGGACATTAATTTTCAGGAATAAAAACATTTGGACATGGTCGAATCGCTAAAAATATTTTGTGAGTCCAATGGCCAAGTCCGAGCCAAGTTCGAGACAACAAAAAAAACATGTCGTGTTTGGACTGATGTTCAAGTCCAAACTTGAGTATGACATCCATGGTGTTCAGATATCATTGCTTCAATGGTAAGAACCCTGACACATAGATACTAATTGTTAGCCCATGTGACTACGGAATTTTCCAGAGTATGTTTGCATTCAGTTAGATGAGGCCATATGGTTGCTTTAAATACACAACATATAATTCTCTTTGTTTGATGTTTAGCTTGGCAGTAAACCTTAACTGCAAAAGGCAATTACTTTTTTCCCCCAAAATATTCACCAATCATATCGGCCAAACTGCTGCCGTTGTGAGTTGAGGTTTCAACTCCATGCTTATATCCTAAGTTCGCACTCGTATTTCAAGAAAAAAAAAAAAAAGAACGAAAATTGGCTAATCAACTGCTCGTGCCTCCAAATAAACTCTTAAGTTGGGTCACTTGTATTTCAAGGCACTGTATATTCCTATCCTAATGCTGTCAACAGCTTTTCTCACCTTGAAAAACAATTTAACTTCAGTGTATAATACATGATAAAAATGGAATCAACATAATACTGTATACCTGAATACTATTATTATTATTATTATAGTGGCTGTAGTGTGCCATAATTTTGTTTGTTTGTGCTGTCACACTTTAGTATACTGATGGAATTCCACTTTTCACATTACTTTTTACATGCATACTCTGCAGCATTACAAAAACCACTACACCACTCCAATAATAATAATAATAATAATAATAATAATAATAATAATAATCATCATCATCATCATCATAATGATAAAAAATTTAAATGCATTGATTGCAGGACAGGCGCAGAATTGATATTCCGGAGCAACAAATCAGTGCTTTGCTATACAGCAGTGCAACATCTATTTACATAAGTAGCACAACCTCTACATTGACATTTAAATATACACTATGTACATTTGGACATAACATGTAAATGTCGTTATTTTTCTCAACAACAAAACAATTAAACGTTACATTTCAATTTGTATCTAAAATCAATGTCATATGTCGGTTGAAGGATTCCTAAACCAGCACGTGACTGGTCAAGTGGTGGGACTTTGATGGCAGGGTCCAAAAGTTCCATTTCGAAGTAAGACAGAACTAAAGTCAAGAATTGCTTAATTTCATAGATGGCAAAAAATCTGCCAGGGCATTTGGTAACCCCAGATCCAAAGGGCATGTAGAAATAGCGTAATCTTCTGCCATGGCGAAAGAAAGTGGTTTTCTCCTGACCGGTTTCATCCAGAAATCGGTCAAATTTATATTCCTGCAGGTTCAAGAAGACAGAAATAGGAAATGAACAAACTTGAACTTGACGCTGATCACGTTCCCATATCAAGTTTGAATGCTTCTTACATAGGGATCTTCGTAGATTTCTGGATCGTAGTGCAGCATGGGGGGATACAGGGCTATGACATCATCTTTCCGTATATGATATGCCTCCTGGTTGTCAAGGTGAAGTAAAAAGTCCTCTTTGGCAACACGCACATTCATGGAAGCACTGGATAAACGCATGGCTTCCTTGATGATACTGTCTGTGATTGAAAGATGTAAACATCAACACATAAAATGGACTTGGAACAGTTTCTTTCAATGAAAGTGTTAAAAATGCTGTATGACCAATTCTTTTTGAACCGCAATCAACTCACCCAAAACTGGCATATTATCCAATTGTTCCCTTTTCAAGTTTATTGTGGGGTCATTTGGGTTCACGGTCTGACCTGCAGCCTCCAATACTCTTTGCACCTCCTCGCGAGCTGCTTTCATTGCATCTGGACTTCTACAAACATATAGCAGCAATCTGGTCATTATTACATGTGCGGTATTGTCATTTCTTTGGACCCAAAAAATTATTTCTTCAAATGGACAATTATACAGCATACTGTATTGTTCTTGTCAGTTTTGTTATCTTGTGACTGTTGTCATGATATCACTGTTAATTGTATGTTGCCAAGCATTAATTGGTGTTTTATGTTGTACCCACTCACTATGGGAAATGAACATAATACTGTTTAGATAAACCACGAGATTCTTATTGTAACCAACTCAAAGTGCTTTAACTATATGGACAGAAAGATGTCCACTTTCACAATCATTCATCCATCCATCCATTTTCTGTCTTGCTAGTTTCATTCGGGTTACGGGCGAGGTGGAACCTATTCCAGATGAAAATAGCGAATTGTAGTGCAAGTCTAGACAAACAGTCATTCATGCTGAAAACCCATACAAGCACAGCGAGAAATGCAGACTCCACACAGGGAGGCCAGAGCTGAAATTCATAACCCAAACTCAGAACTGTGGGCAAATGTCACCAGGCCGTCGTATTGCCCTATACAAAAAGAGTTATATGACATTGATAAAAGTCCAATAAAATGATGCAACTCTAGCACAGAAACGAGGCGTGGAAGAGTAAAAAAATGTGCTGCAGTACTGGGTTTTCTTGGTTACATTTGTAACAACCAATTGCACAGTATTTGGTTATATATCCCACCATAATCTATGTTGCTAGTGTCAGGTGGAATCCTTGTACCACCAAAATCATCACTTTTCAGGAGACCCAAACAATGGCATGTAGATTCAGCCATGAACACGGCATCATCAAAGAGCGTAAACCATTTTTAATCCTTTGGATTTGTCAAGATTTTGTAAAAATAACATCCATGTGTGTGGACTGATCAAAAATATTTGTGAACAAATGTGAAATTGACCAAAATGCCAGTGATAAAATCAATAGTCGGGACATGATTATGACTTCTGCACACCACCAGATATAAAGGCTCAATTAAAATAAAATATTGAATCGTGAGTCAACAAAATTAACAAATGAAATTATCATACCTTATCATGTAAAAAAGACTCCAAAAGGTTGCAGGCAAGGTATTAGCCTGTGAAGCCCAGAGCAGCGCGACGTGAGTTCTGGCCTTGCTTATATCATTGAAGGTGGATAATGAATCGTTCAGGATCATCCTCATAGAGATCAGGTCCGAAACGTTCTCCCTCTTTGACAAGTTTTCAGCGTGCATTGTTTTTGCTAGGTTCTACACATTGAGAAAGAAAAAGGCACAGAAAAACCACAATGAATCGAAAAGTCGAAATCAAATAGCCAAGTGACATGGTGAATAAATAGTTGATCATTTCATCCATGAAATTTCTTGACAAGATGTCCACTGACCTCTCTAGCACTGTAGGCACTCTTAAAGACATGGATCGGCAGGCCTGCCACCAAAGCTGGGAAGATTTTGTCAAACTCCTTGAAATTCTCCAATGCATTCAGCACCAAGGCTTTCTGAGCTGCCTGCCGGGCCTGGCACTTATCCTCACCGAGATCTTTGCCAAACAATGTAAGGTAGCCGGACTCAAACATCACCTGGAGAACAAAATTTAAAGAGGACCGAATCAGTTTCATCAAGTCTATGCAGTCTGCACTACCAACGGTCGGCTGTTTGCTTTACCTTGTAGCAGAAAGCAAAAATGCCATCTACTTCCCAGCGATCCTTGCTCGGACTGAGTGTGGTGGACTTCAACATTACATCTTGGAGATGCTCGATCATGCTGTCAATCAGGGAAGGCAATGCCTCACCTTGCAAAGTCTTCAGAAAAGTCTGATGGAGATTTTCTGTGGTGTGGCCATGCCGAGGGTCGAAGCTGTCATGGCCAAATGCCTAGTAAGTTCAAGAAAAAGTCGACAATCAATACTATACAATGCATAAAAACACACAAAAAAAACTAAATAACTCAGTTAAACAACATTACACAACCCAAAATTATGAAATTCCACAAATGTACCTTGACTGATGTCGCAAAGTGGAATTTCCTCCAGTCCAGGTGTCTGCCTTGTCTGATGACTGAGTGGTAAGAGAAGGGGTCACACAGGAAATGAATGTACTGGCCCGCAATCTTGCTGGTGAAAATGTGGCCATACTTCTTCTGCCGGCCATGGAGGAACTGAAGAGGGTTGGCTCCAAATTGTAGAGCACAACCAAGATAGGGTATTAAGCCATTTTCAAGTGCAGGCTCCCCAGGCTGCCTGTGGATATAGAAGGCAAACCAAACATTATCGACTGTACCTCATCAGTTGAAAGTAATGTTCTTTATTTAATGAGACTTGCACCAAGCACACACTTTGGTTTGTTGCTTCGTTCAGTTTCATCTATCCCAATACTATCCATCCATTTTCTGATCCGCTTTATCCTCACAAGGGTCGCGGTGTGTGCTGGAGCCTATCCTAGTTGTCTTCAGGCAGTAAGCATAGTACTGTACACCCTGAACCGGTTGCCAGCCAATCGCAGGGCACCCAGAGACCAACAACCATCCACGCTCACACTCACACCTCGGGACAATTTTGAGTGTTCGAACAGCCTGCCATGCAAGTTTTTGGAATGTGGGAGGAAACGAAGTACCTGGAAAAAAACCTACACAGGCATGGGGAGAGCATGCAAACTTCACAGTTTCAATTTCGGAGCTGGAATCGAACCCAGTACCTCTGCACAATGAGGATCGATGCGCTAGCCACTGAATCACTGGCCCGCCATCCCAATACAAGTAAATGAGAATTCTCTTGCTATATACTGTGCACCACATGTTATAATGTTATTCAAATGCAATTTTTTTTAGGTTACTTATTACCAGCCCCCCAGCCCCAGCACCGCAATCTATTCATGGCTATTAACAAATTTAGCTAATTGTTGTTTTTTTGGCGGCACAGTGGCCGACTGGTTATTACGTCGGCCTCACAGTGTAGAGGTGCAGAGGTACAGGTTCAGTTCCGGTTCTGGCCTTCCTGCGTGGAGTTTGCATGTTCTGCCGCACCTGCGTGGGTTTTCTCCGGGTACTCCGGTCTCCTCCCATATTCCAAAAACATGCATGGCAGGTTGATTTGGCACTCTAAATTGTCCCAAGGTGTGATGGTGAGCGCGAATGGTTGTTCGTCTATGTGTACCCTGCGATTGGCTGGCGACCAGTTCAGGGTGGACCCTGCCTACTGCCTGACGACAGCTGGGATAGGCTCCAGCATGGCCCCCGACCTTTGTGAGGGTAAGCGGATTAGAAATTGGATGGATGTTGTTTTTTTTTTTTCTCCTGTAAATGCGATCCTCTGCCGTTTGCTGAAAAACTCTACTCCCGTTTTTTTTTTTTTTTGGTTGGTTTTTTTGTGCTCTTTTGTATGACCATAAGATGCCACAAGATGACAAACCCCTAGCGAAAAGAAAAGTACTCAATGCTCGCAATGAACTATATTGGCGGGAAACTTCTCGATTGAGAGAATAAAATCTTTGTCGAGGAGCAGCTAAATTTGGCTTAGGTTGTTAGCAGACATTACAGTGCACACCGTATGTGTACTTTATTTTCTTGTGCTATTGAGTAGCTTTTAGAAAGCTCAAGCTAACACTACGAGGTCTTGTTTTTGATTGACAATTGATGTTTTCAAGGAATTAAGTCTTGCAAAGGCAACACTCGCACATCTACTGGATTTTTTTCAAAATCATAACACAATCAAGAACATATTTGAATGAAGAGATGGCTTGATGTGTCCCTAAACAAATCTTTGATGCTCATTTATGAAAAATAAGCTTCAAATGTTTTTTTTAGATCATTTCATTATTTTTTGTTAAGTTTGACCAATAAAAGGTTGCACAACACGGATTTTACCATGCGTTTATTACTCAATTTATAGTTATGACATTCCAGAAAAAAATTCCACCTGTTGCTGAACCTAACCTTTAATTCATAAACTATTACTAAATACATTATTATATTGCATATTATTATTATTATGACTATATGATGTGCTAGAGAAAATAAAAGGGCAGATTTAGTGAAAAAAAAGTTCATCTTGAAAAGCTTACTTGCGTCTCTGAGTAAAAAAAATGCAGTAAAAATGTATTAACCACTGTAAATCTGTAATCCATTTGGGTTTTTTTATGTTCACGTTGTTGACTTTCAAATGCTATTAAAGTATTTTGGGATCATTGTTTGTGGAATGTTAACTTTCAGACGAATTATCAAGGAAATTCATTTGGAGGGGGCGGGGGGGACACCAATTACTCGCTGTTTTTGCTATTCATGATATGACTAAATGCATGTGCGCAGAATCTCAATTGTAATTGATTTGTTTTTAAAACGGCAACAAATCAAACAGACAGAAAAAACAAATACATGACTACTGAAATTTATGCTTATGAAATAATCATTTAAAAAAATTATTTTTAAGAGTTTAGGTAGCATACAAATGTCTTTTCTCTCCAAAATTGCTCACACAGATTTAATATAGTCTTACCTGCGTCGTGTCCCCACAGCCAGCCAAAGGACGCAGCAGAACCCCACCATCACTGCCCATATTAGAGCGATGCTTATCATCATATTGGCAACACTGATAAATAAGGGAAGGTGCAATAGAAAAAAAGGCTTTTTCGCAGCTGTTTGACAGAGAACAAAATTATGTAATCAACACGTGTATGTGTGTTAATGTGCATGTGTGTCAATGAGCAGTGTGATCTCAAGTGAGTGTGATGACACATTGCCATCTGGGAGGTTTTTATAATGCATTTGTGTCTTGGGGTGGGTCCATAGGCGGACCAAAAAAAAAAAACTATTATGTCATCACTGAATATGAACTGGGTGATGACTTGTCACTATTGCTTTGCCACTGCTACTGAACCAGATAAAGTGTTGTTTTTTTCTCTTTAAATGAGATTAGCTTGTGTGTAACATTATCAGATCATGAGATTGATTTGAAGTAATTCAACCACATCCACCATGATGTCAAAATGACTTCTCCAGGAAACACAGTTCCATGCATGCAATGACCGAGTGTGCCTGTGTGTATGATGGCCTTGACCAGAGTCCATGGACAGTGTTACCTGAAAGACATAAGGGTTGGTAAATAGATTCAAGGTCCCTGCTATGTGCTTGTTTTGTTTTCAGTGTAACTACATGTGTGACGAGGTAGATGAGCGAACAGCATTTGATAAGTACTTTATTCTGTATATCGAGGTAAAGTGTTTGTGTGTATACACTTTAACTCTAAAAGAATCAATAAGTAATAGACACACATTCCTGTATTTCCCTCTATCTCGCTATATCTAAGAGAGAGAGAAATATATGACAAGAATATAATACTGCTCTACCCACTCCCGAAGGAAAGGAATTTAATACTGTTTAGGTAAACCTGTGTATTCTTATTGTAACTCAATTTGATTTAACTACATGGACAGAGAGATGTCCACGTCCACAATCACCCATCCATCCATTTTCTATATGGCTAGTTTCATTCAGGTTTCGGTTGAGTTGGACCCTATCCCAGGACACTTTAGACAACAGGCTGCTTTAGACAACTCAGGTTGTCAGCTAATCATAGCGCAAATACAGACAAATGGCCATTCCTAACGAAAACCTACATATTGTAAGCACAGCGAGAACATGCAAACTCCACACAGGAAGGCCAAAGCTGAAATTCAAAACTCAAACTCAGTACTGGGGGGCAAATGTTACGAGACTGCCGTGGTGCCTTATTAAAAATCACACACACACACACACACACACACACACACACACACACACACACACACACACACACACACACACACACACGCGCCCACAAACCCACACACACACAAACGTCCTTGGATCAGTTCTTGACAAAAGGCCAGGCAAAAACCACTTCTGTGAGAGAACATGAACTGAGGCAAAAAATGATGAGGACGCAGTTAAAAGCTAAATGACCATCATTTCTATTCTTTACTCTATTCATAGTTTTTTTTTACATAATGCACAACTGTCATTTATTGTGCAATAATCTAATTATAACATGTATTTGTTACATATTGTGATGCATTTATATGCTTTAGAAAACATTTATGTCAGATTTTTGGGGGGATTGGGGGTGGGGGGCTTGCAACGGATTAGGGCATTTACATGGAAAATGCATCTCTACTGTCAAAATTTTCTAGTTAAGAAATTTCTTCCAGAACTAATTAATTTCATAAGTAGATGTACCACTCTATCTGTGATCTGGAACAGCAACACAACCCAGAAGCGCATGGACCAGTTTCTGTCAGTTGATTCTGCCACAGTGCTGTTGAGTGGCACTATAAGGTCAATCACAGCCAATTTTAGAACTAACAGACTTTGACAGTTACTTTCCAAAGAGGCCTTTAGAATGGAGTGGACACTTAGGTTCTGTGTGTGAAATCCGGAGTCTGTTGGTTCTCAGTCCATCAAATACAAGATTCCATTATACACTCATTTTAATGTAACGTCTTTGCGCAAATGCTTAGGGAGCATTGCGATGTGTGGCATGGTTCTTTTGAGCGCATCTCAGTTGGCAGGTAGTGAGCTGACGGCTTCTAGAAAAACAGGGGCCTTGCGTTGGGGCTCGGCTGCCTGCAGGAGCGCATTTTGGGTGGCCACAAGTGAGCAGGTGGCCGGCTGCTGGAACCAGGTAGCATTGTGTCATGCTGGTTTACTATTTCTTAACATTTTTTGTATACATCTTCCACGATCACTTGCTCTGCTTAGCGATGTTTGCATGTAACAGGCTATGCTAAACTAAGCTAACTTTGTTGGATTTTAACACCAATTAGTTTCCATTTCCAACTTACACCTTACAACTTGCACCTCCAACCAGCAGTTCTAGGGTAACAGTACATTCTAACCAGTGATGGTAGGTTACACTTGTCACATTGTGGCCAAGCACTGCTGCCTTTGGACCCAGGCAGGAATCTTTATTCTAAAGGTGGGCGCGTCAGTTAATATTTCCAGTCCGCCATTCATCATTTGCCAACAGCTGTGCCACCAGTCCGTTATCATCAGTCCATCATTATTTCAAGCCAACCAAATCTCTCATCATCACTGAATCATCGTTATTTTAACCATGCTTCCATCATCGCTATATTAAACACTATATTATCAGCGCTATTGTAGGACCATCAACGACCTTGTCATGGTCAGTCAATCACTCCGTCATTGTTATTTTAAGCATGTTTCCGTCATTGCTAAATTAGTTTATCACCACTATTTTAAGGCCACCAGACCTTCTTCTTCTTCTTCTTCTTCTTCTTCAGTGGCGGCGCATCAATGACAGCCAATCTGCACACACACACACACACTCACGCGCGCACACACACACACACACACACACACACACACACACACACACACACACACACACACACACACACACACAGCATGATGATTAGTGAAATAAAAAACAATATGGGACAATATCAGTGCGGTCTCTCGGGCTCAAAGGTATATGCAACAAAATCTGTTTTTCTTGGGGACATTTTTCACCAAGTTTCTCTAACCTCTGTTGAAGTGCAACTCGCACAAAATAGCACTTCTGACAATTTTTACTGGCACTTTTTACTATAATCGGACTCCTCCCCTGTCATGCTAAACAATGCTAGCTAGTACATGTGGAAAACAACCGCACACTTTCATAAAGCAGGGAAGCACTGCTTTGAAGCACTGTGTATGTTCCAACCAGTGGGAATGCTGCAAGTGCTTCTGGTCAAATGTCTAACTGTGTTCAACAACTACTACTTCCATCCCCTGAGGCACCTACTTTTATTTTAGGAGATTTCAACCAGTACAAGCACATGTTCTCACTTCTGGGTTTCCAACAGTACATTAAATGTGGCATACAAAGGGACAAAATATTGGGTAATGCTATGCTCATGTTAAAAATGCATATGTGGGCAGAGCAAAACCCTCACTGTCAAATTTTGATCACCATATGGTGTATTTCATTCCCACTTGCAAAGCTGCTCTCAAAAGCGGCAAACCACAGACATAAGATGTGAATATCTGGACCTGCGACGGCATTGAAGCTCTTAAAGGATGCTTCCTGTCTACTGAATGGAACATCTTTCTTGTAAATGATGCTGCTGAGTCTGTTACTGATTACATCAAGTTCTGTGTCGACAGTGTCATACCTCAAAAGGAAATAACTATATACCCAAACAATAAACTTTATATAACAAAAGAGGTGAAAGAATGCATAAATCATAAAAAGTTGGCAGTGAAGAACCAGGACAGAATGCAACTAAAAAGTGTACCAAAGAAACTTAACTGCATGCTCAGAGAAGCGAGGAAGACACATAAGGATAAAATTGAACAGAACTTTCATGCTATGAACTCAAAGAAGCTGCGGGATACTGTAAAAGGCGTCACCAACATGACCACAGCCAAAAATTGTCATGACTTGCAAAAAGCAAATTAATGAATGGACTTCTTTTTGAGATTTGAGACCCATGTGTTCTCTTCTGAGTGTGATAATGTCCTAACCTCGATGTGTCACCGACCAGGACGTCAGAGTGTTGATTGACCCCCAAAGGGTTCTAGTCATTTTTCAAACACAGTGGTGTCAAAAAGGAAGTCGACTCACTGCTTGATCCAAGATGGCGCCTTAGGTGGCAGCAGTCGGCAAGTGCTCTTCAAGAGATTTTCTTTTTTTGTTTGTTTTGTCTTTTGTTTTGTCACATGGTGTTTGTTGTCACTTCGTGTGAACCTGATGTGGACTGTTTTCAATGTTTTTGCCTGCAACATTCGTCAAAGGTGAACAATCTGTGCTTGGTGGTTGCACCTTCTCAGCAGCATGCGTGTACCAGCACTGATTTTCTTTGGGAGGAATGTCAGCACCATTTGACTGTCGCCGCCGGACAGCCCCGGGGCGCTTGTGTTTTTTGCGCCTGTAATGGGCAGCATTTTTCACAGCCCCGTTTTGTTTAGCAGAAATGTCGGGGCTGTTGGGCGGATGGTTTGTGGAGCTGAGAATGAGGAGAGAGGAGCATCGGCGCTGAGCGTGGATGCGTATTTGGAACTGAGAATCACCGCTTGGAATTGAAACAGATTTACATGGCACAGGAGAAGTGAAGCAATCTCTTTTTTCATCAATAGACGCTCCAGCTTCTTGTTTACTTTCAAATTTAGCTTGTAGCAGACGTGTGCACATTTTCAGCATGAAGTCTCTGATCCACCGGTGAAAGAACACTTTGATTCTCTCCTCTTTCATCTAGAACTGCTTCAAACAACAAAGCGTGTGCAGGAAACGTGGTTAAGATTGCATGACTGTTCGTGTTTTATGTTATGTATTGTGTTATATTATTATTATTATGATTTTTTTTTCTGTTAACTGTTTATGTTAAGAAACCTGCCTTGGGACTACGGCTGAAAATTTGCAATTATGCTAAGTCCGGCGCATTTACACAGTTCATTCATGTGTTGATTAATGCGCATTGTCCCAATGAAATAAATAAATGAATAATCCTTTTCAGTTTGTCTATAAGCAGGGGCATGGCACAGATGATCCAATTAATACTATTACTCATCCTGTCACAAACCATCCGGAAGACCCCAAAGCTTATGTTCAGCTACTGTTTGCTGAATTAGTTCAATATTTAATATGCTGCAGCCACATTTACTGATTGAGAAACTGTTCATTCCTTTATTTCGAAAATGTTTCTGTCCTTTCAAGCTAACCGTGTGCAGCATGT